CCCCGTCCCCTGCTGCGGGCTAAGGCCCCACAAAGACGCCTGCTGCAGCAGTAGCGGTTGCTGCGGCTGCTGTTGCTGCTGGGCTCCCATGACCAGCTGCTGATGCTGCTGCCACAGTTGCTGCTGTTGCTGCTGCAGCGGGGACATCAGCAACGACTGCTGCTGCTGCTGTTGCTGCTGCCACAGTTGCTGCTGGAGCAGCTGCTGCTCCTTCTCTGTCACTGCCCCACGTCCAGCAGCTTGAGGTGCTGGTTTGTTCGGGGTTTTCTGCTGCTGCTGCTTCTGCTGCTGCTTCTGCTGCTGCTTCTGCTGCTGCTGCTGCTGCTTCAGCTGCTGCTGCTGCCGCTTCTCCTGCTCATATTGAGAGGGGTTTAGGGTCTCCCTAAACTCCAGGGCCAGCTGCCGCGCTGCCACCATCCCGTGTCTCGCGCAGCTGCAGCAGTAGCGACAGCAGGACACACGTGGGGATGCAGCAGCAGCAGCAGCAACAAAAGCAGCAGCAACGGCAACTGCAGCAGCAGCTCATAGCTCGCGACCCAATGCCAGCTGCAGAAGCCGGCCAAAGCCAACACGCAGCCAGCAGAAGCCACACACACAGCAGCAGCAGCAGACAAGAACAACAAAACAACGCAGCAGCAACAGCAGCAGCAACGAAGAGCAGCAAGCCCGCACAGTAGCAGCAGCAGCAGCAGCAAACCTGAATGCCTTGCGCCTGCGCTTATTGTCTGCAGTCTTCCACTGCACGTTCCAAGTGCCGTCGCTTGAATTAAAGTAAATGCCAGGGGCCCTGAGTTCTTGTGCTGCTGCTGCTTGCTGCTCCCTTGCTTCTGCAGCAGCAGCAGCAGCAGCAGCAGCAGCGGCGGCGGCGTCCCCTGAGGCTGCTGCCTCCTGTTGCTGCCGCCGCCGCGCTGCCTTCGCTGGGCGCCGCGGGCTGCTGCTGCTGCTGCCGTCTGGCAGAGCTTTTTGCTGCAGCTCCCGCTTGCTGCCTGCTGCTGCTGCTGCTGCAGGCGTTGCGCTGGCACCTGCCGCTGTTGTTGCTGCTGTTGGCGGCTGCACTGCTGCTGCGGTGGCCGGTGGAGTTCCTGCTGCAGCGGCAGCAGTAACCTGAGGAGACATTGCTGCTGCTGGAAAGCGCAGGGCAGCAGCCTGCTGCTGCTGTCCTCGCTGCTGTTGCTGTTGCTGCTGTTGTTGCTGCTGCTGTTGCTGCTGCGACCTATCAGCTTCGCCTGCTGCTGCTGCCACTTGGTGTTCCTGCAGCGGCTGCGGCTGCTGCTGTTGCTGAAGGGCGAGCTGCTTCTGCTGCAGCTGTGCCTGCTGTTGCTGCTGCTGCTGCTGCTGTTGCTGCAGCGCGAACTGCTGCTGCAAAATTTGCTGCTGCAGGTCTGTTGTTGCCAGTCTAGGCTGGTGGTGGGTTTGGTGTTCCAGAAGTTGTTGCTGCTGTTGCGACAGCAGGTGCTGCAGCAGCAGCTGCTGCTGGGGGTCTAGGGCCTGCTGCTGCTGCTGCGATAACAAGTGCTGCAGCAGCAGCTGCTGCTGCGGGTCCGGTGCAGCAGACTGCATCAAGAAAAACTGCTGCTCATCTGCATAAGACGGGTAGCCACAGAAAACAGGGGAAGCATACAACCTGGACTCATGCTGCTGCTGCTGCTGCTGCTCTGGAGAACTGGGAGGGCTGCGGGCCCCGGTGGGGTCCTTGGGCTGCTGCTGCTTCAGCTGCTGCTCTGGCTGCTGCTCCTGCTGCTCCTGTTGCTGCTGACTGCTGCCTACAGCTCCAGGGGCCAAAGTAGCAGCATCGCAACTGTGGGTTGCCTCTCCTTCCTCTTGCTGCTGCTGCTGCTGCTGAGCCAGCTGCTCGACATCTGCTGAGCTGTGCGGGTCAGCTTCCGCATGATGCTGCTGCTGCTGCTGCTTTAGCTGCTGCTGGGCAGCTGCAGGCCACTGAGCCTGAGCTGGAAGATGCGGTTGCTGCTGCTGCTGCTCTTGCTGCGGCTGCTGCTGCGCTTCCTCACTCATTGAGCACTTCTGTAGCAGCAGCTGCTCCTGCAGCAGCAGCTGCTGCTGCATATATCCGTTGGGTGTTTCCTGTCTCTCCTGCTGCTGCTGCTGCTGCTTCTGCTCCTGTTTCCGTTGCTGTGCCTGCACGTCACTTTGAACTGCTTCGCCACAAGTGTGCTGCAGCAGCAGCTGCTGGGGCTGCTGCTGCTGCTGCTGCTGCTGGGGCTGCTGCTGCTGCTGCTGCTGCTGCTCCTGCCGGTCTGTTTGCCCAGTGTTTTCCGCCTGCCGCTGAGCCCACCGCTCTGTCTGGCTGTCAGCAGCAGCAGCAGCAGCATCCACGAGCTGCGACTGGTGCAGCAGCTGCTGCTGCAGCAGAATGTGCTGCTGCGGCTGCTGCAGCGTGTCCGGGGGAAGCTCCGGCTGCTGCTGCTGCGGCTCGTCTGCAGCAGCAACCTCGGGATGTGCATGCGGCTCCAGCGGCACTTGCTGCAGCAGACTCTGCTGCTGCTGCTGCCGCTTCTGCTGCTGCTGGAGCGCCAGCAGCTGCTGCTGCTTCAGCAGCAACGCCTTCTCCTCCCTGGTCGGCTCATCCACGGGCACCGCAGCTCCTGCTGCTGCTGCTTCCTGCTGCAGCTGCTGCAGCTCCCTGCTTCGCTCCTGCAGAAAGAGGGGGAGAGCATAAGGCGTCAGCCCTCCCGTCCACACAGGCTGCTGCTGCTGCTGCTGCTGCTGCTGCCTCAGCGTGCTGCTGCTGGGGCCCCTTGGGGACTTGCCCCCGCCGTACTTCTCATCTGCTGCTGCTGCTGCTGCACTAGCAGAAGCAGTAGGCCCTCCACCAATATCCATGCCTGCGCAAAGTCGCAGGCTCTGGTGTGTCCAAAGCGCTGAGGTGTACATACACCTCAGCTGCAGCAGCCGCTGCAGCTGGTGCTGCGCTGCTGTGGTGGCAGCAGCAAGCTCTGCGGCTGCAGTTGAGTCGGCACTCGCAGCAGCAACAGCAGCAGCAGCCGTTGCAGCAGCATCTGGCTGCTGCCTCACGCGCCGCAGCAGCCGCTGCAGAGGGGAGTGCTGCAGCGAGGGCGGGCTGCTGCTGGTGCAGGGTGTTGAAATCTCCCTAACTGCTGCAGCAAACGCAGCAGTAGCAGCAGCAGCAGCAGCAGGGCTGTTCTCCTCGCTGCTGCTTGGCGGCTGCCACTGGATGTGGACTTGCTCCTTATCCTTCGTGCTGCTGCCGTGACTGCTGTGACGAGTTGCTGCTCTTCCTGCTGCAGTGCGACTCCGAGCAGCAGCAGCAGGAGCAGCAGCAGCAGCTTTCACCGCCTCCAGAGGTGGAGTAAACCCAGCAGTGTAAATGTTGCTGGGCAGCAGCGCAGGAGCTCCGTCCTCTGCTGCTGATGTTGCTGCTGCATCTGACAGGTCATCCCACGCAGCAGCAGCAGCAGCAGCAGCTGCTGGTGCTG